AAGTGTTATTGTGTTTTTGTTTTTTACTATTATTAAGTAGCATTAGTTTATTTATCGTATTTGCATGGAAGAATAAAAGGATAGCGATGAGCCTATATTCATGCTGAGACTGTTGCTAGCCTGACTCCATTATTATTATTGTTCACACAAACCTATGGGAAATGTTTAAATTATGAAATAAAAATTCGAAGTTCTAATTAATTCTAAAGAAGAAGAATAAATTTTATAATTTAAAATAGGTTTTTTACATACATTTGGCCTTAAAAATTGAGAATTTTAAAAGGATAAATTAAAGGTTTGGGTGGCAATAGGATAGATTAGTTTATGACTGATGAAACCATTATATTTCCTGGTCCGATTGACCGATTGAAAATTGGCAAAAAGGAGGAAAAATTCGAAAGGTAGGTTGAGATGGGAAGTTAGTGTCTTAGGGGATCGAAGTCACGATGTGTGAGGTAGGTTGCGGCATATTTAGCCGAAGTTCGTGGGTTCGAATCCTGCTCGTTACACTTACTTTTTCATTTCAACCAATACCTTACATAAAGATTAATTAATTGAACTAAGATAGAAGGTTTAAATGCTAGGACGTGAAATTACCTTACCCGTTAAAACGACCTTAAAAATTAATAATAATAATAATTAATGAACGAACGAGAATTTAATTTAATTGAATATTTTATTTGTAAATGCTCGCAAAATTAGGCCTCTTGGACCTTTCATACAATGAACGACCATTCGTACATACAAATAAAGTTTACAAAATTCAAAATACAAAACACGTATACTACAAATATATATTTTTTTGGAGAGCGAGAGAGAGAGAGAGAGAGAGAGAGAGAGAGAGAGAGAGAGAGAGAGAGAGAGAGAGAGAGAGTGTGTGAAAGAGTGAGAGTGCAAGAATAATATATAAAACATAATATTAAAAAATCGAGTTAATTTTACATACATGTGATGAAGAAATAAATAAAAAAAATGAAAAAATAAATCGATTTCTTGTCCTAGCCGTTCTATGGCCAGCGTGTAGTATATAATTTTCTGCTTTCCCATTATTAAATTTAAATAAATATTAATGTAGTTAGTGTACGTTGTGTATAGCATAAAGTTTTTACAACAAACTACAACTCAGATCCGCAAAATATTGATTCGTTACGAAATAACAATTTCGCCGGGTTGTTTGGTCATAATTGATCATAGATAGTCTGCCTATGCTTGTTGTTGGATTTAACGCGTTGAACCGAAGATTGATCCTGATTAACGACGACGATTGCCGGATCAGAGATGAAACTAATCATAACTCACTTAATCGAACTGCTCACTCGTTTTTCGTCTCGCCAGCCGCCCTTCCTCTTTCCAGTTCGGGCAGAAATAATCGTTGCCGTCTCCTGAAAATTTCATGCTGTCCAACAAAGGTCCACGGATGTAATAACAATCGACAACAAGGAGAGGATGATGTGGACTATAAGAATTATTAAAAGGTGGGGTATCATTAGACGATAGGGGACCCAGGAGGGCATTAAGGAACGTGACATACTCGCCTAACTGCTTCGTGTACGTGGGACAAACGATAAGTGTCTCTGGGAACGACCGACATCAGCAACATCCCAAATCTTAGATTCAATATCCGATCCTTTCGTGGAATCTTTACATACGGTCGTCACGTACCAAGACCCGACATGATGGTTTTTCAAATATTCGCCAAGGGATTTACTGGTCGTTTTCCGTTCGTAATTTTGGGTTTGTCACATTATAATTCGTTTCGGTATTCTTTTTTGGTCGTCTTCCGTGCCAAATTACCTATCAAAAACCGTTTGGGAAGATGTAATAACAACGAGGCATTTGCAATAATAATAACAATGCTGATCTTTACAACGAGCCAAAGAATTTCAACGGTTTTTACTCTTTTGTTTACTTCGTGTATCACATTTCTTCAAATTACGAGATTTAATGGCTTTAAGCCTTTATAATTTTATATATTTGTGTATACATTCCCGGGCATATTGGTTTTCCAAATATTACCTAGTGTGTTTTCGTGCGGTTCCTAATTCTGCGTTCGTCACGTTATAATTTATTCTAGATTTTTTTTTAATGCTGTCATAGTTATCGTTTTGGCACCGTATAATTACAATAGGTGCGTTGCAATAATAATAATAATAATGCGCACTGTTAGCTGAATATGACTTTCCCTTTTTTTCTCGTTATCACATTTGTTGAAATTTATATTTTAACTTTTCAATTAATTAAGGTTTTTAGTTGAGATAAAAAAGTCAGTGTCACGAGCGGGATTCGAACCAACGACCTTCGGCTAGATACGCCGCTACTCTACCACTTGAACTATCGTGACTTTGATCCACTCGGACACCAACTTCCCATCTCAACCGCACCTTTTGAATTTTCCCTCCATTTCGCCATTTTTCAAATGTCGTGTAATCTATTTTTATTCTCGGCGACAAATGAAATGGCCACGGAGAGCTTTAGTAAAGATATACTTCATTTAACATCAAATTCACTAGTTTTTGGAGTCCGTTTGACCAATTAATACCTTTCAATTAATTAAAGTTTTTTGTTCAGATAAAAAAGTCAGTGTCACGAACGGGATTCGAACCCACGACCTTCGGCTAGATACGCGTGTAGTGACGATATACATAACTTACATATTTACAGTTTAAGTGTGTAATTTAAATTTAATTGTTTCATTGAATCTCTAGTTGTCATATCCAAACGATATGATGTATGATGTATTCAAATATAGCGATGATTTGCCTGAAGTTATTAAAATAAATATAAATTTTCCATTGAAAAATCTGGGTAACAGCAAGTGGGCACAAAAGAAAAACTAAAAGTACTTTCCCGAAGCTTTCGAGGATTTGTCAGGATTTTGAAACAATTATTATTAATTCAAAAGATTTACAAATATTATCATCTACTTACAACATTGTCAAACCATTCATTGGAATGGCCTCATCACCTGTTTTTAAGTACAAGTATTAATAGGAAATTCGGCAATTTAATTTTACCCACTAAAAAAATTACAAACAAAAATCAACCTAAAAACATAATTAAAAAGTAAATAAGTAGTTAAATTTAAAAAATTGTTGTGAATTGCTGTATAACTATTTATGATCCCATTTACTACGTAGCAGAGACAAATTTTTAGATAAATTAATTTTTCTTTGTTGTTCTTCTTTTGTGGTTGTAATTAATTTCAAAATATACACGTACGTATAACGCATATTCATCAGCCTGATGGTAATGCATAAAAAGAATATGTAAAAAAATTCAAGCTAATTTTACAAATTAAAAATGAGAAAACATCACGAAACAAAGAGCAAAACTAATAGCGTAATTTAATATCCAGATTATTAAACTTGCACAAATTTCCAATGTTAACCTATTTATGAATTCACATAATTTTCATTTCACACATGCGAATGCCTAGAAAAAGAGTTCGATTTCATTTTCTTTCTTTCGATTTTTTTTAATCATCTTTGGTTGCAATTTATTTCAAACTAAGACGTTATCAGGAATTTAACCTATCTTAAATACACGGCTTAAATCAGATAAATTTATTTAAATAGAGTTTTAATTGCCTTTATAGGCCTATATCTACTTTAATTTTGTGTTAATCATCAGGGCTATGGCCAATTTGAATGAAAAGAAAACCGTCAAGTTTTTGAAGAAGCCACAATGATATCAAACCTAACGAATTTTATAAAATTGAGCACGGAAGCAAGTACTAATAGTACTTCACTGTAAAATCAATTATTTTTTTATTATTCTTGAAATCATAAGTTGAGGATTTCAATTGTTTTGTTTTTTTGTTTTTTGTGCGTACTGTTATACAATTAAATAATTAAATGTGATTAGCTTGTGCTGTAGCTGATGATTGACTGTGTGGCTTTTTTATTAACTAACCTTCTTTAACTGTTGAATTTTCATTGTTTAAATTATTGATATGAAGGCACAATAAATTTAAATTGAATATAAAAAAACTCAAACAAAAAAGTACTCAAAATTTGGATAGCAAACTGTTCAAATTATTCAATAATTTCATTGTATATGTTAAGTAACTTTTTTAAAAGTACCCCTGTTTGAAAAACATTGCAAATTCGTTAAGATTGGTTAAACAAATTAGTAAATAGTAGCTAGAATGGTTAAGGTGACCGACTCTTATTTGCCACCTTAGCGGTTCTGGGTTCGAACCCCTGCACAACTCTTGTAATTTTAGTAGAGATTAATTTAGAAGTGGTATTTCAAAAAGGTTCTGACCCCTCGTCCGTTACACATAAAGGGTGATCAGACGTTAAATTTCCCATATGAAAGAATTAAATTATGCTCTTTATTTTTGTGGTAAAAAAAGTAAGGTCTGGGAATGAAATAATTTCCAGTAAATGAAATATTTGTGAGAAAATTAACAATTTCAATTTGCTCTTAAGTTAATTAGTACTTATTATAGTTCATTAATATTATATATTATAGTTTGTTTTTGGATTATTTGACAGAGTACTTTTTTTAGTGTAGCTAGTAAATGTGCACATGTTTTTAAGTGAATTAGGTGCTTTCAAACATCGCCCCTTTCACATTTCAAGGGAACGAGAAATTGTCAGTTAAGAAATTCACTTTATACCCTTTGCGGAAAAACGAGCCGGGGCCGGTTTAACGGGCATTGAAAAGGAAATTGTAAATTTAAGAAATTGGATAACTCAAGGTAAACACGTGGTATTATTGAATTTAGGGTTCTTTATTATATAGCCTGTTGCGACATGGTGACTTTGTGGGGGAGAATGGAATTCGAGTTGATTGAAAAACCGAGAGAGGGTGGAAACCGACGAACAGTTTGTTTCGGCTTTTTATTGACCCTCCCTACAATACTAGTAATTACCACTTGTTCTTTAACTGATGGGTTCGACCCCTCGAACAGAAAGATAAGTGGAAAAAGAAATTGTAAAACCGCCCTTAACCACTGTCTTCTTTTATATATACGCGTGAACATTACACATTACCGTATGCGCTTTTGAACAATTCCATTCGTGTTAGGTGTTAGTATAATTAGAAGCATAGGTTGTTTGACAAATTGTCCGGGGTGCCGGTTCGGGTTGGCTCGTCATTTAGACAGTTGGCTGAATGCCAGAATGTTCATGTTCTTCCTTAACTCCTACTAGTACACAACATTTAAAATCAATCTATTCATGGATTTAATTATGAATCAGTACTAATTACCTTGATGTAAAGCGATCCGACAATGCAGATAAGTTAACGGTAAAAGAACACGCAGAAAGCTTCGGCGGTAAAGAAAGCAAGAAACGCTGTTAATAGTTAAAAATACCGACAGTTATCTTTGGCAAAAGGTGAATGAGACTGAATTATAAATAGTTTCTTTACGCCAGTTCAAATCGATCTTTGATCTGTCAAAGTCAACGCTTGCATTCCACTAAAACTGCGCCGAACCGGGTTTGTTGTTGTCTTTCTAAATAGAAAAGTGAGTTATATCATTGTAGACCTACATTACAGACAAAACGTAATTTTTTGTTGTAAATAAATTATTGACATAAATTGTCATACAATGTGTAACATCAAAGTCGAGCAAATATAGGCCTAACTTATTACAAATCATGTAATTAATCTGGCGTTGTTTAATAAATAAACCAATTACTATCCAATGGGTATTCCATAAACAAACATGAAACATATAAATATCTTATATTTCAAAATATTATGTTAAATCTTGTAACATAATTTACCTTGTTACAAAAATAATGCATAAATATGACCAACAGATATGATAGATTTCCACAAACTCTTCTTCTCTTTTTCACTAATTATTTTCATTCTCTATTTTTCTACACATGCAATATCAATCGCCCATTCTTTGGTTTTTTCATACGAATTTGTCTCCCCCTCCCACCATCTCACACCCCTTCTCCTTCACTATCTCTACCCCTGTCCTTCACTTCCTCTCTTTCTTTCTCTCACTCTCTCTCACTCCCCTTCTCCCTCATTCTCTCCCTCCCACCCTTTCTCTCACTCCCTCCCTGTCTCCCTCCCACCCTCTCTCTTTCTCTCTCTCTCTCTCTCTCTCTCTCTCTCTCTCTCTCTCTCTCTCTCTCTCTCTNTGATTAATGTGGCCACGAGAAGTTCTATTTTTTTAATCTTTGCTTCCGTCCCTAAACTTTCTTTAATAAATTAATTATAATTACATAATTGTTTTTCAGCGTGGTTATTTTAGTTGTAACGCAAAAATGTCATTTTCACTAAATGACGGGATTTTTTGGTGCAAGGTTGTCCTCGTCGGTCCACTTTTTCTTTTTGGGCATGTCAGGACCTGTTTTGTAAGGATAAAATTACCGTCAGTCTGTAAATAGAGCAGTTGTTTTGGTGTCCCATTGTCCCTTGTTGTTGTTGGCTTTGCCGACCAACGGCGACCATTAGGGAGTCTTGTCAATCCCACACACATCGTGAAATCACCTGCCCCATTACCATTCTTGTTGACATAGCGTACAAAAGACATAGACAAACTCCTGTCCGTTTGCATACCAAATTATTGAGCTTATTTTCTTTAAGCCTGAGTTAATATAAAATTAATTATAATTATTTAAATTGGTAAAAGTTATTTCATTAGTTTTATTGGTTAATTAAAAGCATTGGCCCTGAAGGATTTACAATAATAAGTCCATCTGCCTACCTCAAATTGGAATACGTTCTTTTATTATAGGGTTTTGTAAATCATTGGGGTGGGCCGGTGAATTTCATTAATGTCAGGTAGGAGATGAAAACAAAAAGCCGGCAGGGCGGCGAGGGGATGTTGCAGAAAAACAAAAATGCCTACGATTTATTCGAAGGGCTTCAGAAAAGGATCACAGAAATGACATCGGGCTAATGACCAGTTTGGTAATTATTTTTAACCGAAGGCAGATAATTGCCGGTTGTCAAACTCGCCCGGGCACGGGGAGGTGTGAGAATCCCCGGCACCTACCCAGGCCACGACGGGCATTTGCTCATCCCTTCTTAATAAGCCCCCAACCCCCGCCCAAACATAAAATAACTATTTATCTAGCCCTGGCGCACAAGCTCGTTATCCTCTTGTCATTAGTTTCGTCCATAGTACCGATTATACTACAAACCACTCCCTAAGTGGAATTCTCACTATATTTTAAAAAAAAAATCGCTACTCTGATAGGCTAATTATTACTGTAATTATAGTAGGCTGATAGTCTAATCCAAGGAATATACAATTTTTAGGCATCAATTGAAAATGTAATCGCATAGATCATAGTTATTTTATCATAGTTATTACATTACATACAATATAAACTTCCACCCTTCAATATCGAAACTCTATGCTATTAAACCTTTTCCTAAAACCAAGTGTTATTCTATGTATCTAAAGAAAAAAGTAAAATCCTCATAAAATTCTATAACTTTACATGGTTTCTTTTAGGGATAACTACCAAAATTTGTGAAAAGTAATACATTGTTCAGATCACATGGTGAAGCACGATCTTCTCTGAGATACGCTTTTCTATCTTTGACCAATTTGAATGAACCCGTCATGCTTTCACACTCAAAGACAAAATACTAGAGACCTGACATGTTTCGTAATTTATTTCAAATAATATGTTTTATCATTATAATAATTACAACATCCTTATTTTAATGTAAACCAAACTGAACGAGATGAAAAAATGAGTTTTAATAAACACTTAATTGCGATGGTTTAAAAGAAATTCAACAAAACACCGAAAAATCATTTAATAAATTTTTTTACCTAGTTTTCCTCTTAATGCTTTATTAATAGCAATACAAGGTAATAAATTGTCATTTAAGTTTATTATGATTAATTGGTCGATAACATTCAACTAACAATTTTTTTAACTAGGTTTGCTGGTCATACGTTATTAAAAGCAAAACCAGGAATTAAATTGTTAGTTAAATTGATTGTGATTGATTCATAGGTTAAAATTTAACCAATACGTTTTTTACCCTGTTTCTGATTAATACGTTATTAAGAGCAAAACCAGGTTAAAGTGTTAGTTAAATTGATTGTATCACTAAATGCGATTCCATTTTTTTTTTCTTTTTTTTAAACCGCCCCGGAGAATATCGAGCATTCGAGGGAATGAATGTGACCAGACTTCTGTGTTTCTATCGAGTGTTGTGTTTGTGTTAATTTATTGTAATGAATGTAATTTATTAGCGTGAAAGGAAGGGGTTGCTTATAACCCTGCCAGGAGGAATATCGAGTACTCTGGGGTAAGTGTATGACGTCTGAAGAGTAAAAGTAATTTATTAGTGTGAAAGAAGGGGTTGCTTGTAACCCCGACGGAGGAATATCGAGTACTCTGGGGGAGTAAATGTGACCAGACCTCTATGTTTGTGAAGATGTATATATATANATATATATATATATGTGAAAGCATGTTTTGTTTCTATTCTATATTTGACAAGCTGAGGTACAAACGAAAGACTAACATTCTAGGATATCAACGTAGTATATATTTGAAATCGGAGAGTCAGTAACCAGATCGAAACGCTCAAATGGCTGCAGTTTAAAACAAGGAAAACATGCAGAGGGCCGGCGGTGACCTAAGCTGTTTGTCGGCCCATAAACTTCCCACTTTATTATTATTAGATTTTTTTAAATAGTAAATACTTGCAATCATTAATTTTTTTTTTGTTTACTGGATATTTTTAAAGAGAAATATATAGCTAAACCAAAAAATTATACTGAGTGTAACGATTTTACCAAAAATGTTGCAGAATTTCTTCGTCTTGCGTTGATTACCGCATGCATTCCGCGGGGCATCGTTTTTATGAGTCTTTGATTGTAGAGCTGTAGAATATTTTCATACTCCTACAACAGCGCCATTCTTAATTCCTGCAAATTCCCTGGCATCACTGGGCGACGTTTTACCCTCTTTGACAACTCGTCGCAAACTACATGCTGGTACTCCAAACATTAAATTGAAGCCTCCAAGTAGTCACTTACAGCCCTGACATTTTGGGACCTTGCTTTTTAACGCCTAAAATAAAACCATGCCAATTAGTGGTATATAAGGAATAACTTCTTCTGTTAACACACCTTCAATGTATCGCGCAGCTGTTAGGGAATCGTCGATGAAGGTGAAGTTTGTTCGACTTCCATAGGAATTCTTCTACAAACCATAACACCACCACCTCAACAGCTTCTCGAAGTGAAAATGTTGCAGGGATATATTGCTCTCCTGTTCTTCTCTAAACCCTCTCTCTGCCGAAGACCACAAACAAAACCTCGACTCACGCGAAGACAAGATTGTACTCCAATCTTGCTCAGCCCAATTAATGTGATTTCTTGCGATACTTAACTGGGTTGTTCTGTGCCATGTCAGTAATTTGGCACGTAATCCAGCTTCTGAAAGTCTTCGCCTTACAATGACCAAACTGACATTAACATTTCTAACTTGCCGTTGCTTGATCTCAAAGCCGTAGACTGTAGATTACACATAAATTTCAAACAATAAACCAATCATCTCTCTGGCATGTGACTCGATGATGGCTTGATCCGTGCTTTTTTGAGTCATCTGCAGTCTCTTGATAGCGATGGACGACTTCGGTGCGTTGTTCTGGGAATTTTAAGCACCCTGGCCACATACTCTTGATTTTTTATTCTTCCAACAATGCTATGGTTCTAACCGAATCTGTGTCACTTAAAAACCATTGCTCAAACAAATTTTAACTCAAGTGAAAAAATCGTACAAATTTAAAAAATCAAACCACCAGAACGTTAGAAAGAAGCTTTACAAAGAAGAGATTGACTATTCACAGATTTATTTACAAAATCCAATTGTAAACATAAGTGGGAGATTTTGTGTTTTATTTACCTATAATCCTTAAAAACGGACCAATTGTTATAAGATAATCAGTGGAGGATTGTCCAAGAGATAATTATATTGGGTTGTCCGGAAAATAATGCAGGATTTTGGTATTAAACAAAAAAAAAGAAACTAGTTACTTTAAAGCAATGTTCTTTAATCAAAATAATTTCCCATACTCTCAATACATTTCTCCCAACGTGTTGGTAACTTATTAATTCCGTCTGAGTAGAATTCAGAATTTTTAGAATTGATAAAGTCAATAAATGCATTTTCCAGTTCCGTTTGATTTTTGAATATTATGTGTTGTAAGTAGTGGTCCAGGTGTCTAAAAAAATGGTAGTCAGTAGGCGAGAGGTCCGGAGAGTAGGGTGGGTGAGGCAAAGTTTCATAGCCAAGCTCCAATAATTTTTGTGACGTTACACGTGACACATGTGGTCGAGCGTTGTCATGCAACAAAATGGGCCCTTTCCGATTGACCAAAGAGGGCTTCATTACTGCCAATTTCTGATGCATGGTATTAATTTGGTTACAGTATGATTCAGCATTGATGGTTTCGCCAGGATTTAAGAAGCTGTAGTGTATTAAACCAAATGAAGCCCACCATACCGTAACCATTACCTTTTTTTGATGAGTTGGGGGCTTTGGAAAATGTATTGGAGCTTCTCCTTTGTCGAGCCACTGTCCAGAACGTCTAGTGTTATCGTAGAGAATCCACTTTTCGTCACATGTAACAATTCTGGCCAGAAATGGGTCATTTTTGTTTCGACAAAGAAGTGATGCACAAACATCAAAGCGCTGATTTTTTTGGCGATCGTTTAATGAGTGTGGAACCCAGTTTTCGAGTTTTTTCACTTTTCCAATCGCCTTGAGGTGGTCAGCGACGGTCGTTTTACTGACTTTGAGTTGCTCTGCAAGTTCTCGAACAGTTGTTTTGGGGTTTTCTTCCACCACTGATCGCAGAACATCATCATTAAGAGAGGAAGGCCTTCCACGACCTTCTTCATCTTCAAGGCTGAAATCTCCCTCCCGAAATTTTTTAAACCACCTTTGCACAGTGCACTCATTAACACAACCCTCGCCCCAGACTTGGTTAATGTTTCTAGCCGTTTGGGCTCCGCTTCGGCCGAGTTTAAACTCGTAAAAGAAAATCGTACGAAATTCTCGCTTTGACATTATAAGGATGACTGAATTATTTCCAAGTAGCGGAATGCTACAGAGGTAAACAAACAATATCATTTGGAAGAGGATTAATAAGTGTTGACATTCATACAAATGAGTAATCCTGTAAACGTAAACAGAATATTTTATATAGATTTTTTTTAATGAAAACTTAAAATCCTGCATTATTTTCCGGACAACCCGATAAATATTAAGGAACACAGTTTTTGCTTCTCAATGTAGTCTGATATAAAAAATGAAATAGAGCGTCCGGATTTTTCCATTGAGTATGTTATATATTTTAATTATATTTTTTAAATCTTGCATTTACAGTCTAATTATATTTCTTGAGTTCTACGTTTTCTAATTAATTATTGAAATTAAGCTATTATTTCGCTCAAAATGATTTCAATATCAACAGCAGAGTGATATTTTTATTTCCCAAAACGTTTAATACACCCGGACAGATTATTTTAGAATGTGGTTGTACAATCAAGTTAGGCAACTATATTGCTACAATTAAATAATAAATTTTCCACCTGAGTGAATAAATATGGCTTGTACAATCAATTCTCGTAAAGATGGACGCATCCTGTGTACACATGTAATCGACGCTAGCTCCTCCCCCAGTCTTCCGGTAAACACACAAAAAAATCACGCTTAGTTTGTGAGGGTTGCTGCCGTGCATGTGGCTATGATTGATGATCTGTTTGAACAGAGATATCGAGGGATGACTAGGCGGATGACAGGGGCACGCAATCCCGCCTTAACCATTTACCACGTCATCGAGCAACAATTATTTTTCTTTGCTGAACGCAGTCACCGATGGGCATTCTCATGGCATGCCAAAGTGGTATATTGCTTTAGTGCAAACTATTTTCGGAAATATTTAACAACGTTTTCCAGTAACATACATCAGTTAAATATATCAGTTTGAATTGTCATTTTTTTATGATATAAGTTAATTTATCTATATGGCCTGAAGAATAGAAATAAATCAACATCACTGGTCCGTTTTTACACGCCGTATCAATCACTTGCTATTGAATATTTCGAGAGTCCAGCCTATTACTGGATCTGCTAGTACAATCAGAAACATGACGTAAATTCTATTTTTTTATTATCTGTTTTGTTTGAACAATGTATTTGATTGTACATTCGCTAGACGAAATTCCTTGTACAACATTCGATAAATTCGACTTTGCATCCTTATCCGTAGGTAAAGAACGCAGAGCTCATTCTATATTGTTAGGCCTATGAAGATAAGTTTGGTAGATAATAATTTTTTTCTCTCATCCGCTTGAATATACTTACATTCAGATTATTCGTGAGTAAAAAAGTTTATAAGAGAGTTAGAATGGTATGGCAAGTGAGACAAAGAATAGCATGTAAAAGAGAGAGAAAATGATAGAGTGAGAAATAAAGAAGGCATCAAGTGAAGGGGCGGGAACAACAGAAAAAGAAGAGAGAAAGACAGACAAACAGAGAGAAAGAGGAAAATAAGGGAGAGAGAGAGAGAGAGAGAGAGGAGAGAGGAGAGAGACAGACTGACAGACAGACAGAGGAAGTCAGATGGTCAGACGTATTAGGCAAGTGAGAGAGACAAAAGGAGCAACAGATAGAGCAAAAGGTTAAGTAAAAAAATATTGAAGGGAAAGAAAACACAGAGTGAGGGGAAAAATGAGAAAGCAACAGATTGAACGAAACAAGAATACAAAGAATAAGAGCGAGGCAGAAAGAGTGAGAAAGGAAGAGAATGTTAGAGGGAAAGCAGACTTGCTGGATAGTAATAAACAGTTGATATAAATAGAATATTGGAAAAGTGTTATTGTAATATAATTATTGTATTTAGTGTTTAAATACTACCTGAAGTGCAGTTTTTCTTAACGTTTATACTTTTTTATTAACTGTATTAACTATATAATACAAATTAAGAATGTTTCATACGTAATAAGAAGTAAATATTTAACAGGCTATAAAGATGAGACTTGCCAATGGATAACTTACATAATGATCGATTTAATGGTTAAAAGCATATATATAAATAAATTGATTGATATAATTATTTTAATTAAGCTTCTTGATTCAACTAAAATTGAATTGTAATAAACTATGAGCTTTTATCTTCTAATTTAAAAAAACAATAACAATATCAATAAGAAAATAAGTAATAATCATATTATTTGCCTTCTATTTTACTTTCAGTAGCTACTACATATTACTTTCTTATTTCGTACAACTGAATTGACTATTTTCAGAACATAGGTCATAGGCCAGAAAAGGTCGTTTAGATGGATTGACTTCAGGGCTTTTTGCGTCTAATTTTGCTCCTATTTGTACAAAAATTGCCTATCAGAGTTTTATTTTGGAATAAAAACACTGCTTATACTGTCTTAAAGCTCAATTGCACTACTGTATAATCTGTAACTAACTCAAAATACTTCTTTTGGGTTGACATCTAGTTAAACGACGTGACATCCACTGGTTCTGACTTATTGAACTTTTTCAAAAATACTGTTTCTACACTTTAGCAATTTTTCTTCGAAATCGTCTGTTTCGCATTTTAAAGGAAAGTAATGCTTAAATAGGTTATTTTTCTTTCAATTTATAAATACTATTTATTTTATTTTATTATCTATTTTTACAAGGGTATTTAAACTGGGAGGTTGTCTGAAACCTTAAACTTTTCTGAGTACGACGTTTAATGAGCGTTTAGTGTATGCCATGCTTTATAAATAAATTCTTGACGAACTATTTTTGGCTAAGAATTAATTAATTTTAACATTTGCAACCTGGTATGGTTTGCGTTCGATGTTCTGTAAATAATATTACTCTGTCTTGATGATTTATAGAGATGGATATTTCTCTTTTTTAATTTCTCAAACGAGCATTCTCCGAAATAAGATATAATGTATAAAAGTTTAAATTAACATGACCTTTTGTGTTTGAGCAGAGGGAAGGGCAAGTTCGGCCGTGACATAAGATTATATATGCTTCTCACTAAGTGACACTGGTTATTCATCATATGATTTCAAGCTGAATTGCTTTTGGTGGGGGAGAATTGTTCACGCCGTGAAGTGACACGACAACACGGAGAGGTGTATGATTACCGGCCCTGTGTTTACACGGCTAGTGACCTGGCAAAACAAACATACAATCAGTGGGTAATCACACAAAGCGAAGGGACATATCCCACGGCATACTTGCACGAGACCCTAATCCTGTAATACATTCAGCTTCATATGGACGTAATGACGAAAAATGAGCGAGCTCGGGGTCGTGAAATTAACAAATAACAAACTGCCATTGTTTCTTGAATTGAAACAAAAAATCAGTGATTAGACAGGATAAAATCAGTTTGACGCCAGGCTTTTTGAAAAGGTAGACACCAGAAACAAATTTGGAAAGAGAATCACTAAAACAACATTAATTAAAATCATATTAAAATATATACAAACAGCGATTTTGTCTATTATAAACCGAGATTTAATAAAACGTGTGCAAGCGGATCATCGGTCAGTATTGATCCTGCCGGTGAAATCGTGGAACATAATTTAACTAAATCTTTGTTTAGAATTCGTTTATTATTACCCACATACGCTCCTCATAACATGTCCTACTCGTTAATTAACTGTTTAAAACAAATTTTGTTTAGAGCAGGTTGAATCATCAACAGCAACAATAGAAAATCAATAATGTGGAACCTCGGGGGGGGGGGGTCGCCAATTCTGTTTATTTTTTTCCATTTTACGGATTTAGCTCAACCTTTCTTAAAACTAACCTATCTAAAGTATTCATTGCAATCCGAGACAAGATTGCGATTCTTCACTATTCAAATACCAATAAATAAATGGACTATTTATTTTTTTCTCCATAACTCTGTCATTAAGATATTTAAATTTAATAGCAATTTATTTATGATGGAAATGCTGTATGTCGATTGCAGGGTGATGAACTTGATTGTTACATATCATTTTGGTCTGCCTGTCCTCGCTTGATTAATCTGTCAGATACGTTTCGGCATTTAGCCTTTTTCAACATGAGCTTTAAGGTTTTTTAGTTACTTTGTTTCCTCGTACAAGATCAAGATAAATTTGCAGCTTAATTAATGTGTTCTTCCGGGTGATGTTGCGTTTGGCATAACCAGGATGTCGTTTGCATGTTTCAGCCTTTATGATCTGCCCTCAATAAAAAAAGGATGATCATAATCATTTTACAACGGGTTTAACCGGAATAATCACCACTTTTATACTGGCTAACATGTCATCAACGACAATGAATACAAGTCGGACATCAGATTGTTTCGAACGTATTACAAGGTGAGTAAATTTATTGTTTGGAATTATGTGCAGATTAAGTCGGAAAGAAAACATCGTGGTGATTTAGAGAATAAGAAGCCAGAATTATCGTGCTTTTTGCAACCTTACCTACCGGATGTGTCAGCATTTAACCTATATTAACTAGCCAAACAAATTTAATTCATTTTCGGTCAGACAGACAGCCCTACTGGCCGCAAGTTCAATGCAGTTTTGCAGTCAACTAGTACTGCAATATTATAATGAATTTTCACCTTTCGATATATCTTCTGTGAGTTGAGGCACCTGTTGCTGGGTCGTTTCAGATAATTTTTGTAATTATCACTTTTCCACGTCTTCACGTTCGTACCCACATCATTTCCCACTCTCTCTCTCTCTCTCTCACTCTCTCTCTCTCTCACTCNCCCCTAATGTAGCTTTTATAAATCTTATGAAAATTTATAAGCAATTTTGTTAATTTAACTTATTTTCTTATAAATAATAGAGTAATTTATCGTTAACTTTATTTATTCTTGCGCTGTTCTCCAATGCTCAATGTAAAAATATAATTTATAAGTTTAACTTAGCTTCACTCTAAAAATTTACATTAATGTTGATTTTACAATATTTTTGTTTTATTTGAAGCCTGATGCTGCTATAAACAAAAGTTATAATTGTAATTACTCATAGGTGTAAAAAATTTCCTAGAACTCTTAACTTTTGCGTGTATTTTAATAAATAAATCGTTGATCAATCAATCTCAAAGATAAAAAAAATTAAGTTTGACTTTTTGCACAATAAAACTATTAAACAGGGTGAAAATCAGTTAAAAATTATTTGAACTCGACTATTTTTAAAGTCCCGTGTAATTTGAGTTCTCAGGCGACCTGGCTGCCTCGGTACTTTGGAGACGGTTCGCAAAAAGTTGGACGAACTTTTAAATAGCGCATTTGATGAAAGAACTCCCGAGTTGCAGGGTTTGTTGATTCTTTTTTCTATTTAGATTGTGTTTTTTAATATATCAAAAGATATTAATGGGGATGGGTTAGTGCAGAAGAATAATTAGCGTGAGGATTATCCCAAATGGAAACAAAATAGAACAATTTATAATAGAATTCTTATTATTCATTTAGAGATTTTTAAAGATCTGAATTGTTAGCAGGATAATAAAGTTCACAACCATGTAGAATGTAGACGGTTGGTCTGTTAGTGGATCACATGTTGAACTGATAGACACTGATCAAAATAGTTGAAAGCAAACACGTTATCAGAGGTCAACTTCCATAGAATGAGTATGTAAATGGATGATGTTATTGCTTAAAATGAAGCAACAACATGTTCGTCTTTCCTTCCTCCATCCTAGTAGTTTAATTCGCTATTTACTCTCCTGCGTCAGTATTGGCTTAGCAATCTCATGGTCAAAGTTGGACCAGATTTGTTGGTGTATGACGGTTGCCGCGGCGGCTAACTTTTGTTGGTAATGTGATTGCCCGAGGGAAGGTTTCCTTTGAACGTCCGATGGGAGCGAGCAGGAGGGAGGGCGAGTGGGCCAGAGTTGAGAGTCGGAGGTGGTAGTTCATTGAAAAGGGGGAGAACGGTTGAGAGGCGAGTTGACCTGTCGGGAGAAGAAAGGGAGGCTATTGGGTTTGCAAGTGGTGGCCTTTATTGGAGGCAAGTGCTAGCTCAATGGGGTGTTAATTACGTGTGGTGGGGTTTCCTACGTGACGAGCATAGCTCCAAACCTCTGATTGATAGAGCCACCTTGGGTTCATCATTTCTTAGCCAATCCGGGCAAAAATCAATTCCAGGTCCCAAACTCAATGACACATCAAACAGACAAGACAATTTCATTACTTTCGTCGTAATCAGGGCCGCCCTGTTAAGCTCTTATTGATTAACGCCTAGCATATCGACAGTTAAACATTTTTCTCGTCTCCCTAGGTCGGAGTTTTACCAAATTTATTTGAATTTGTTAACAGATCGACATATTTGCCATAGTTTAAACACTCCAAAATAAACAGTTGATTTTTTTTTAAATTTAGGGAGAAACTATTTTTTTAGTGAAAGTAATATAAATAAACATGGCTGACTCTCTTATTTCGTATTTTTTTCATTTATCTCACTGTTCTTTATCCTGGATTTATTTATCAAGATAATCTTCCATCAGTAAGTAATGTCTAACTCTACCAGTACAGGTTATACCCTCATCTCAATTTCTATTTCTTTATTTATTCACAATTTATTCTAGAAAATACTTATGATTATTATACATCGTATTTCTTACCTACATTGTTTTGAACCTATGCTTGTTCTTATGTTTCTAATTTACAATCTTTACTTTCTACTTCTAGTACTTAATACTTCTCTTTCCAAGTAAATATGCATCAATATCCTCTTCTTTTAATGTTAGAATATTTCTTTCTAATCCAAAACTTTTTGTGTTTGAAAATTTTTCATTTCTTCTTTCCTTCGAAAATTTCCGTTCTACAATCAAAAATTTCCCTTTATTTATATGTCATCTCAACCTCTATTTTTATACTCATCTAGGATTATGCTTCCATTAATTTTCTACATATGTTTTTCATTATTTTTTTCTAATTCTTTTTCTTTCTAACTAAATTTCATTCTATTTTTTCTAACTAATTCTTTATTACGTATTTGTTGATTCTTAGTTGGTGTTATAAAGGATATCTTCAGCTACTTTAAATAGCGTAATTCCAATATAATAATCATTACATTCTTTTCTATATCCCTATTTTTACTTTTACATAATTAACTGCTCTCTTTTCCTAAATAGTTTTTGGATTTCTCTCTCCCCCCTCTCGCCCTTTCCTATCTTTTTTTTTTCTCTCTCTCTCTCTCTCTCTCTCTCTCTCTCTCTCTCTCTCTCTNCACACTCACACACACACACTCTCTCTCTCTCTCTCTCACTCACACACACACACACACACACACACACACACACACACACACACACACACACACACACACACACACACTCACTCACTCACTCACTCACTCACTCACTGTCTGGCTATTTTTTTTATTTTTTACTGTCTGTCTATCAATCTCACTGTGATTCACGTAATAATTATATATTCACCTGCAGTTTATTTATTCTGTTTTTTATCTTGTTTTACCTTTGTCTTTGTATTGCAACTGCATGCTGTATATATTTATTTAATCTTTAATTCTATATTTATTGTATTTTTTACCTTTTTCTCTACTTTTAATTTTTTCAAGAAACAATCAAGGTAAGCTTCAATATCTGTGTGATATAGCCCAGTTCTATTTTGAATCGCAACTTTATTGCAAATGTTTTTTATTTTCGATTTGCCAACACTCGCAATTACTTTTTTAAAATTTCATATTTATACAACGAGTTGAACTTGAGAATGAGACCAAATGTGAAAATATTATTTCATTTAAGTGCTTTTTGGATGGATGTTAAGTCGTCGTCAATATATTTTATTGCGCCTTGGGCGACGTTTACAGGATTTTCGTAGTAAACCTTATTTGTCTCCGGCGTAAATCACATCACAGCCCAGTTGAAATCACAGAAAATTAACGTCACAGAGATTTAACGGCGATTTGGATCTATATCCGGACTGAAGGTCGTAAAAGAGTTAAGGAAAACAGTTATGGTGTGTCGGTGACAGGCAAGCATCTGCCGGGGTCCCATTGTTGACTCCCCAACTAAACAGGGCACCGGTATGTAAACACCGACAATGTAAACTGGTACGGAAATAACATGCGCTACTGCAACACTTAGATCCTTTCAGGAATTGAGCGCCACCACGTCAGACATAATAATCCTTGTACAAAATTTGAATATTTTGTCTCCTCATAAGAGCGAAAACTTGAAACTTGTTCTCTGGTTTCTCAATTAATCTGTGAAAACGTTCGCTATGGATTTATCGTTGTTATCTATACATTTAAAAAATAATATCAATTTCAATAAAAAAGTTGGAGTATATGCTAAATATATGGTTCATTCTTCACGGTTGTGTATGATTAAAAATATAACGCTTGGTTTGTGCTATTTCCTCAGTATCCAAAAAATTAATCTTTATATAAGGCATTGGTAGAGATAAAAAGTCAGTGTCACGAGCGGGATTTGAAAATGGCAAAATGAGGGAACAGTAGGAGGTTGAGATGGAGGGTTAGTGTCCGAGTGAATCGAAGTCACGATAGCTCAAGTGGTACAGCAGCGGCGTATTTAGGCGAGGGCGTGGGTTCGAATCCCGCTCGTGACACTGACTTTTTATCTCGACCAATGCCTTATATAAAGATTAATTGATTGAAAAACATTATTCGGTCAATCGGACCACGAACTATAATGAATTTAAATCCAAAAATTTAACTCTTCCCAATTTTCTAGTGATATTCAAATAGATAACTAGTGTTCATTTGTTATATGTTTAAGCTTACTTCACTATCAATTTTTTATATACTAGGTCATTTTTAATCAATTTTCTATAACCATCTTTCTATTCTGATGTCTTTGTGTTGTGACGTGACGCTTCTCCCCTAGTTTGTTACCTTTTGAGCATTGAGTTATATTTTGTTTGATTTTTCATTTATTGTTCTTTATTCTTTGTTAAATAAATGGTATTTCGTTCCATATATTATACTACTTCTTTCCATATCCATCTCTGTATTATATGGTGCAGTTTTTTTGGTGATTCCTTTACTTTTTTTTTGTTTCTGTTAAGTAATTATTTTCCATATTCGTTGGGTTTTTTTAATATTACATTCCATTTTTCCGTTTTCCTTATTCATTCATATACTCTTGTACACCTACTTTCTTCAATCCGTTTTTAGATTTACTTATATGTTTTTGTTCTATTTACATATTACATTCTTTTTTATGCTCATTCATTTTTCTGCTTGCGTTGATTTCTTCGCGTCTTCTTCTCTTTCTTTCTCTCTGTTCTTCAGTTTTTTCTTTCTTTTACTCTTTTTCTCTATCTACCTATCAATCTAATATTTATCTTACTATCTATCTATCTATCTTATCTTTA